GTCATAAGCGCCTGCTCCTGCATTGTTTCCATGCTTATATTTTTCACCTCAAAATATTTAACTCATGCCAAAAATTCTGGCCCGTTATGCCACGCTTTGATGCGGGTGTATGGTCAGCCTAAAAGTTAAGAAAACCTTGAGCCAGGCGGTTGGTCCGACAACTTGGCAAGTTTGCAATAAGCTTGTCAGCACAGAACGATGGTCTCCGCTGACTATATTAACGTGCGCCTGTCCCCTCCCCCGTCGCAGCTGCCATTTCAGGGTCCTTTGGCTTGCTTTGGGGTAGGTAATCTGAGGTAACCTATAAAACCGCAAAAGTCGCTCATATCTATAAGGAACGATGCTTCGAAACAGTAGATAAGTCTGCGTTTTCCGGAAAATCGAGGGACCGGACAGTCATGCAAAAATAAGTAGGACAGATTCAGGATACAAAATAGCGACTGCGTTCGGCCACTGGCGGTGAATTGGATTTATGCCGTTTGGTTGCTTGACCTGCTTCAACTTGTTTCCCACGTGGAATTCCCGGTTAACACTGCTAGACCTTCTGGCTCTTAACACCAATGTTGAGATTGCCACCAGGGACGTATTCACCGAATTAATTTGTATTTACATAAAAGTTCTGGAAATTTTAGTAACGTTATTATTTTCAAACTTTTTTTTCAGATGGTCAAGTGGTGATATGGCATCGCGTTAGCGGCTGTTGTCTCGACAAGTTAGACATATTTCTAGGAGGACTTCACAGGGTTAACAAACAACTTGCTGCCGGTTCGTCAGCCAACGTAGGCAAGTTTTTCGCTTATTTTCAAATTTTTGCTGACGGGTGTCCGAACCTAAGCAAACCTAAACATATTTCATTATAAAAGTTACTCGTCCGCTAACCGCAAAATGAATCCGAATTTTTGGGTGGTAACCACGATACGCCTGATCTATGTGATGTCCTGCATATTGCCTGTCACAGCTACTAGACGAGGTTTCCACTAATACACTTCTACCCTAGAACGGGTTTCTTTAAGTGCTTCATTATCCACAAAGCATATCTTCATCATCATTTAGTCCTCAATACAATCACTATATAGACTTGGTCTTCACTACTGCTTCTCACTGCAAGAATGTTGACCCTAAGGCTCTTTTGAATAGGCAAAACTATGAAAATAGAACAAAGAACAGAAGGTCCTCCTCCCCGTGCAATGGACTTCGCCACCCATGACGACATGCTTCCCCTCATGAAAAATGTCACACAGTGTGCCACGCAGGTGAGCTTGCCTTGTAATCCACACCTGACTTCGTCTTGCTTGTTAACGCGATACCTCCACAGTCAGTCATTAGTTATATATACGCCGAAAGCATTTCATGTGTTTTCCATCGTATGTTCAAATGCTCCGGTCTAGTTGCCGACCATCCATCCCTGACTACGTCCCTCCTACCTACAAGTATCCCTTCTTCGCTTTTTAGCCTTCAGCCTTAGTAATATCCATGGGTCGCCCTCGTTTAAGTCATTGGCTCGTAGCAGTATAGCGTTTATATACTGAGTGTGCTTTGGGTGCCGCAACAATCACGACCAAATCCAGTTTGTTAGAAGGGAAATACACCAGCAGTGGTATATTCTGTACCGAAACTCGGTGGCCAGAATCGACTCACAGTCAGCTCTGAGCCGCGCTCTTGCCTGTCTGCTAGTGGGCTGTGAGCGCGAATGTAGATGTCATGTGTCATTCACCGTCAACTCGGTGATCTGATTGAGTGTTTTCGGAATCTGTGGGCTCCTGTGGTTGGCTATCCCCATGGCTGTGTGCGCACGTTCTGGTCACTCGTAAGCCGTGATCGCATGATCTCTAGCCCGGCGTAGGTGCCAGAGGTGAAATGCCCGTGTGCCCCTGAGGCGCTACAACGGTCAGCATACCGCGTTGTATAAGTTCACTCATCCCACTGTCTGGTTTTATTTCTTGATTAAGTGCCCTCAACTTACTGACATCGTATTTTAGGTGCTCAACTTTGGAAGGGGACTCCCAGGAATTCGTCATCTGTTGCAAGATATTCCTTTCGCGGAAACTTGTCGTCTACTAAGTTCGGGCGGTGGCTGTTTTCTCCAAGGGGCTGCTGAAGCGACAATCCATTCAACAAACAAAGCTGCCAGGCAGTCTGGTCAAGCAGTCATTTGGTGTACCGAGATACTTGGTTGTTTAACACTGGCGTCCTACGCGGAAGACAGTCTAGGATCCGTTCAGAGTGCTCTTGGTCTCATTATTGGTACTTTGGACGAAATACTAGAAGTAAGTCACAACTGTGCTAACTTTTACTTTTATAAGAAAGCAG